TGAAAGTGAAGGATCGCCGCCTTGCAGTTAAACGTCTGTTCATCAAAGTTTAGAATTGGAAACTTGGATAAAAATGTGGACAGAATTGGGAAATCCGTCTATACGAAATTTTCCAGGCCACTGTCAGCCCTGCCAGCGGGTAGCACAACTACACGCACTGTGATGACACAGTTACTGTCAGCGCGACTCGTCTTTGAATACCAGCAGGTCTAGAGGATCAAGGTAATTGTCATAATAAGCCTTTATTTTCGCTGCGTTATTAAACAAGTATCTCTTTTAGTGTGCTTAGCCTTTCAATGCGCAATAAGCTTGTTGCCACACAGCAACTGTTGCAGCTTTAGACAGTAATTGACTTCATGAAGCCTCGTGTCAGAGATCCACTTTCAAACTTAGTGCCAACTATATTAAATTTCACATCATCTGCCTTCATCACATCAGTGTATGCAATTGTTGTTAAACTGACTTGTTTGTTTAGGTTGATTTAAGGTTTTGGTTCGAAGGTGACCGACCACTTTTCAAGTTTCCGCATAAGTTGGCGGATTTCAAGCAGTGAAACTGCTTTTACCCTTAACGCCTCGCCTTCTCTGTCTGCTTTGGTCTAAATCAGTTTGCAAGATCAAAACTGTCGACAGAGAACATACGTCACATGATTCAGTAAAATGCTTAAACTGCAAAAATTTATGGCAGCGGCACAGCGCCACACGCGTTTAAATGTTCTTGACAATTAATAGCCAGTTTTTGAGTTAATGTAGTGAGTCTAACGCAGTTCCCATGCTCCAATGTCATGTCGGCATAAGCAGGATGGTGTTTGTCTTTTCTTGCGATCTTCTAAATGACGACCGCTGCTGCCCGGATCTGCCCTAAAATTCAACTCAATCTTGTCTTTTTGTTTCTACGATGCGTTGACTGCCTTAGGAACAGGTTGTTGTAAAGCAAACGTTTGTTTGTCTTGAAAATCACATTTCAGCGACGTTGTCGCACAAATCCGCACACATACATTTGTCGACTTTCTGTTTGTTCGACTAGTCTGTCGGAGTCGTAGTCTTGGATCTTAATTGCCAAATAAATCTGTGCTAAACAGGCGTAAAATCTGTAGGTCGTTTTCGTTTGCAAATTACGATCACGTTACCGAACGTTTGAAAAAAAGCGCTTTCTGTTTCCACCGAGTTCCGAAATACTACTTGCCATAAATCAGTTCGCCGGCTGTCTGTGGGTCAGTCAGACCTCAATTTTTGTAGTGACTTTTTTCAGCACAGCGATTTACGTAGCGTCAGCCAAAGGCTAACAGAACCTTGGCAGTAGGCCTACTTCATGCAAGGGGATTTGCTGTTTGAAGAGAAATTCTCAAACGTTTACAACTGATGTGCCCAATACGAGCAGATTTTATGAAATTTTGACGCAATGCTAGGGACAAATTACTCTCAATGAAATGTATGTTGACTAAAGTTTAGCGGTCTTGATTTGGACCTTGGTAAAAGTAGCAGAATGTTATCTCTACAGTCAACTTTCTCTACCTACATTTTACGTACCGACGCCTTTGACTACAGATCACTGGATCATCTTTTCATCGAATCTATTATGACCATTTGAGTTCGAAGATTAAGTATTTTGTTCATGCGTTTTTGGTCATGCCGAATAGAGCATGGACCTGATTTATTTATGCACAACGAAAACAATTTGATCGATCGGATGATTGAACAGAACCGACATTCCGGCCCGCAATACAAATAAGTGGTTTTCCGGGTTATTAAACTGATAAATGACCTTTCGGTTGCACAGTGGCTATTCATTGTAAAGCTAATATGTCGTCAGCTTCAGCTATTCTTGTTTTAGAAGAAGGAACAGAAGTATTTGAATTCTTATAATCATACAAAAGCGTCGGTTAGTTTAAAAAAATCCGCCAAGTGGCTAATGCAAAGCATACGACTGAAATCAGTAGGGCGATAATAGCATATGTGGATGAATTCTCGTCTTCGTTTCTCCTATCAAAAAACTAAGCCGGTAGATGTACTCGTTAGAACCAGTATTTTTCCGAAGCTGACTCTTTACCAAACCTTTTAGATTACTGACCAGGTTCGTAGCCACGAAAACCAGGAACGTTTGCCCAACTGTCCTAAAGAAGAAAGAAAAATCATATTCTATAGTTTTGCTTGGAGAGGAAGTGCAGTCAGCGTGACTTGACTGAATTATGAACTTCCAAAGCGAATATGATTATTAATGGAATTGAAGAAATTTAGCCTTGGCCTGTTTTTTTCGTACCATCTGAGAATATTTGTTCCCCTTGACCGACAACCGTCTACTCTGCCACAACTTTATGAATTTGAATTGCATTCACAGGTTGAAGGCAATAATCAGAGCTGAAACACCTGAGTATTTTACTTTTTGTGACAAAGCTAGTAGAAGCAGACTTGTTTTCCAAGAGAAATATAAATTCGATAGTCAGGAGCACCGCAAAGCCCTGAAACTCCATTTCAACTTAGTCGAACGTCATTAAAGTATATAACTCTGTTGCTTAGAATTTGCTTTAGCTGGCTACGACAGCAGGAAAGATCGCCTTTTGACATGTTTCAACAGTAGGGTGAAGCTGCTCCTATGTCCCTGTTCGATAAATTGTTTATCATTTCTCAAAGTCATTTCAGGATTTGTGCGAACTCTATTCATTTGACTGCATGTATCTTTCAAGAATGGCATGCATTCAGCTATATCTGAGATACTTTCTGTTCGCTTCAATCCTTAGAGGGATACATTACATTGTGTGACGAGACCATTGCGAACAGTAGAACGAAATCTATTCGTTGATGCTTCCATACCTGTCTTGCAATTGGTAAATTGATGCTTTCACAAAAGCTGTTCTAGGCGTTTGTTTTCAAGCCAGCGATACGTCCTTCGCTTGAGGAACTCCAAAGTTGCTGCACTCTGAATATGTCTGATTCTAGTTTTTCTCTCTGAGCAAACGACGATATTGGCCACCACGGTGCTTTGTATTTCGAGTCGTGATATTTAATAGCTATTGCATAATATCTGCCTGGCTGCCATGCGCATATCGCCTACATCAAGATGGCCTCGAGGTTTAAGAACTAGCCCAGTAACCAAAATCAGCAGGAAATGGTCTGTGGAAATGTCCCTGTTCAGCTTCGCTATGTCATAAAAAACCGGTAGCGCAAAATATTGTGATGAGAGTTAATTGGCAGGACCACGCCACGAATGACTCCATTCATTCCCTGACACAGGTAACCTCAGTAGACGTAGAAATTAAGCGAAGGTGGTTTTCCTGTTGGGCAAACTGTTTTAACATAAACTATTTACTCCAGCACATTAGCTTCTCGTGTGGGAACCGTAGCACGCCAGATATCGATCAGAAGGTAACATGAAATACGGTAAAACAAGTTAGAGGCAAATGTGCCTTCAAAGTGAATATTTTTATTTACGATGCAGTAACCAGTGCGTTATTGCAAAGTGTCGAAAAGCTGCGAATACTGTGGGCATCACAAACCAGAGACGCTATGCTTATACACAAGGCTCAGTATGACGATCTTCACAAACACAACAACGTACGAGCAAACCTGGTCCGCATGATCAGGACTTCAACTAGATTCTTCTGACAGTGCAAGTCAAAGTAAACAGCACTTTGATATCTCGATCTGCGGATCAACGTCGTAGTGCCTTCCTTAACAAATGTACTGACGTCCTCCATCACCGCTTCTACTTTCGGGTCTCAGAGACAGATGCCTCAGATAGGGTTTCCAACATTTCCGATTCTGTGCCAGAGTCTGAGCTTCAGCAGATGGCAACCAGAGTTTAGAACAGACTCCCTCCATATATTTGCTCCAGGTTAATCTTGGACTTCCCCTAAGGCCCTTTGGCGATCGTTTGAGCGAGCGGTAGTTGTCTCTCCTTTCTTTTTTGAGCCATTCGCAATACGTGCGCAAACCATCGCAGATGTGACTTCTCACTTTGAAGAAGCAGCAGTTGCACACCAAAGCTCTCGCGGATTTCCGTTCTCAGGTTCATGTTGAGAAGCGTGTGGTTAGCGACTCGTCTCAGAAAGCCAATTTCATATGCTTGTGCACGGGATCGAAGGTTTTCAGTAATGGTTCACGACCCATATCGTAGATGAACATGGAGATGAAGATCCACTCGACCACAGACACATTAGTCTTCAGACTCGGTTCTGCTTTAGTCACAATGGACCGGGCTAGTTCACGTAGAACGCCACTGGATTGTCTCAATCCGCCGGTCGATCTCTTCCATTTTCCATCATTAGTAAACGTGAGTCCGAAGTACTTGAACTTCTTCACCTGCTTCACTCTTTTTCTCTTTGTCTGAAGAGAGCAACATACAGGAGAACGAGAAAGCACATGACTTTCGTTTTGGATACGCTCACAGGCATAACTGCCAGTCGAACTCGGCTGAGAACCCAGATAGCGCGGGAAATCAGTTTCAGACAATGATAAAAGACGTGATAGTCCGCAAGCAGCGGTTTCTTTCCGTTTCGACACCTCCTATGCTGATACATTCATTGCCCTACCTGCACCTGACTGTTACATCCATGTACAGCCCAAATAGGAGACGAGACAGAAAGCAGCTTTGGCGGAGACACCGAAAAGTTTAGAATTAACGGCATTAACTCAGACGCAGCATCTGCTATCAGCATATAGTGATTGGATGGCCCGTAGCAACTACCTGTCGATCCCATACCTTCGCATGCCACACCCACTGATTGTTGCGCGTATTCCGGTAATAGGCTTTCTCTAGGTCCACAAAGCAGGTATAAAACGGATGAGTGAACTAGCATGATTTCTCAATAATCTGGCGCAGAGCAAATGTCTGGTCAGATATTATTCAGCCTGGTCGGGAGCAACATTACACTTCTTATATCTTGGAGTCGCATACTCACCGAATTTCCCCTAGGAATCAGCCTTGGCTTTTCAGACTACTTTCGCTATCGCCCAGCGTGCTTCTACATATCGAATCGGAATTGAAGCCTCTTTGCTTCCAAGCTATTTCTTGAATGCATCCTTCTTCTCTTTAGCTGCCAGTTGCGTCACTCGTGCCTGCAAGGAAGTTCTTTTCTGACCTCCAGGTAGCAGGCCAGCCTGTTTAAATCCGGAGCATTTGGCGGCAGCCTCAAGTAGGCCCCCATTAAAGAGCTGCCACTCGGTTTCAGCATCATTTGTCATCACCGGGATCTCTTCAAGCCGTCGTGCGTTGTTGCTCGCAAATTTCGCCCTCGTGTCCACCGTAGATAATGTTTCCATTTGATTCTCCGGTAGCTTCTGCCACCAGATCTTCGTATGGTACTTCATTTCTTTCAGCGCGGCGTGCCAACAACAAGGTGATGATCGGTTGATAGCTCTGCGCCTCTCTTAA